GTTCAGCACCAAGGACAGGGACGTTAAACTGTACTCAGTAAGAAGGACAAGTGTGTTTACCTGTGTGTGTGGATGGCGTTCAGCACCAAGGACAGGGACATTAAACTGTAGTATGGGGTAATTGTGGGAAAGGCTTATCAGACAAGCTACAAAAGTTCCAAAACAGAGCAGCAAGAATAATACTAGGTTTACCATATAGATCGCATGTCAGCTCTGATCATCTATCCAGCCTTGGCTGGAAAGATCTGTCTTCACGTCGTCATATGCATCTCCTACAAACTGCACGAAAGTCGATAAACAACCAGTTGCCAGAGTACCTAGATATCTGTAACCGAACCCTAGAAACCCACAACTACTCCACCCGATACAGTATGAACCAGTCCCTGCGACTTCCTAAAGCTAGATCAGAATGCGGCAAGAGAACATTTTCTTATCGAGGTGCAGTGTTAAAGGTTGTTCCGATTTCTCACTTCCGGGTTTGACTGCCGAAATTAGGGTCTCTTGGGGTTTACCATTTTTAATCGATTGAGGCACAAATGTTTATTTTTCTACATACTGCTTGGCATTTTCAATAACTTTTCTACAGTTTTGTCGTATGTTTTAAATTGTCTACAAATACCCCCGACACTTAAAGCCGTACGTTGAAGTTTTTGTCGTATTTTTTGGTGAGTCCACGGTCTCCGAGTTTGCAGAACGCACAATTTTCTGAGAGACCGTGGTGAAGCCGCCGCCATAACAGGAATCGGCTAGTCGGTTACAGCGCTCATATTGTCGCGGAATACAATAAATACTGTGCCAGGATTGCCTAATTTCTATCACAAATAACACAAACATTTATGACACAAACTTTCCATAGCTGCATTTGACGGGGAGGCGTAGTAGCCGGGGGATAAGCCGGGTGTCCTCGGCGGGCTGGATCGTCAGTGGGCCCGACGGTCGTTGGGAGGGAGCCCGTCTATGGGTTCACCGGCGGTTAGGGTACATTTTGCCAGCAGAGGTTGGAAGATTATGCCCTTCCTCTACCCTGGAGAGTACCGTGGGGGCAAGGGCGATTTCTACTCGGCCAGCTAACGACAAAAGCCGGGCCGCACTCGAATCAAACCGGCCCGGCGCTCGGGAGATACGCCGTCCCACAGTCACCGTTGGCCGGGCTATTGTCGCTTAGCAAACCGAGTAGAAACCGGCCTAGCCCCGCGGTACGGAGAGGCTTCCAGGGCTGCAGGTTTCCTTCATCTGGCTTTATTTGACACCCCGTTTTCTGACAGACTTGCGTGATGAACAGTCTTTCCTCGTCACCGATATCTTGTGACACTGATGTGTGCTCCTTTCCTCAACGGCGGCGGCTTTCTACAGGTGGTTGGCGTTCATCCAGCTTCGGGGCCGGTAGAAGCTCTTTGCCGCCCGGCTTCAATTGGCCAACCGGTCGGAGTGTCGGCACCCGTTGTGAGTTTTGCCGCGGTGGGAGTTTCACGGCAACCGTGCAAAACTTCTACCGAGTGCGTAGTTACGCCAGGCGGTGGAGAATTCCTAGTCTAGGGCCTCGAAGACAGCCTAAGGAAACCCGCGAAAGGACTGTATACCAGGCTGCGAAGTAATGGGTTGCGAAGGTGAAGTGCATGGATCAAAAGCGGCTCCTAGCATGCAGGACTGCAGCCAATACTTTGGCTCCAATCACTGCAGTGATTGATTTTCGCCGCATAGGGGCGCTTTTGATCCATGAAGATATCAACCAATATGTCGGCTGTTTTTATGTACTAAAGCTGCTTCTAGAATAGCCTCCAACCAACCCCACGTAGATTTTCTAGCGGGTATTGTTCGTTTTAATGAATGCGGCGGTTTCTTTTCGGGGGAGAGAGCTGTATGCGGGCACAATAGCAAAAAGCCTGAATAGCCTGACTTACAAGCCCAAAAACACACACACAAATGATACAAACGTGCTTTTTTCACCATCATTTATTCACCAAGTTACACGTTACATGGTCTTACTTATATTAGTGCTTCATTTGGTATATCATTAAGACTCGAAGAGTAAACTATGAAAGTGTGACCTATGACATGGCTTCTTCAAATTTGACAGTTTTGTATGGATTGTTTTGATGTGGTGGCCTCTTCTTGAATGCTTCCTGACATTATTAATACATCTATTGCTCTCATGTCTCAAGCCTGGTTGTATTGTCTTCGAGGGTTGATATGAAAATATGAAAAAGATGTATAAATTCAAAACAATGTTATAAGATGCTGTCATATTTTCCTCTATGTGGTTGGTAATTAAGCATGCAATATACACCAGTGTCTAAATTATAACAATATCTTTTCATGGTCATCTTACATAACAACAAATTACCCAACTCAAGTGTTGACTTTAAAAAGTTCTCAACAAAAATTAGTCTCCTAACATATGTCTTAAGACCACCAAGAATACTTGTAGCCAACAGTAAAATAATCAATGGTGTCTAGCAGTAATATTATGAGTATCTAGAAGAGGCATTGGAATGGCAACTATTGCAGCCTATTTCAGAACAAAATAGGGGGAAGTGACAGAGTTGATGAAGAGAAACGATGTAGAGATTGACCCTGTCCTTGGTGCTGATCTTCAGATTGTCCTTTTTTTTTACGAAACATCCCTGTGGCATTTCATCAATCATGGACTAAATAACACCAATGAGAACATGAATACAATGTCTCACAAAACATCTATTTCTCACTTCTCAAGTAACTTTTATCATTATATACTCTCTCTAATCATATATTGTATAAGGCAATATCTATCTGTATCAGTATAGCCAGTATATCCGCCCTTCGGCATAACTCACAAGCTTGATGTATCAACTGAATAAGGACTTAGCAATCCTGACAACTTACGAGATCTGATGCACAACAATTACAAAACTGATACAAGAATTGATTATGTTATCATACTATGACAGTCACTGCATGCTTCTCTTCGACAGTAACATCCGGCTTCTCATGGGATCATTCAGTTCAGTTTTGTGTCCTCTGTAGGAAAAAAACAGGATTTCTTTTTAAATTTTTTAGTGCCATTTATTACATCTTACAGAAACAATATTTCTCCAATCAAAGCTGCATAGAATAGACCAATTCTAAAGCCCCACCCACCTCCGTCAAATCATAGAAATGCCGATATTTTTATTTATTTATTTTAGCTTTGTCACAGAATGTGACTGGACAGGGGAAACAGGACATATTTCAAACGTCTGGCTGCTACCATCGGGCGCCAACCAAACTCTGGCCGGCTGGAGTACCCCTAAGGCCACACCGACTTAATTTCATGGATGACATCCGCGCGCGCATTGATTTTGGCCTGTCGCCCTCAAAAAAAAAAAAAAGATCACCTCCACCGAGTTTCTGGCCTAGTCTTAGGCCTGGTTCAGGCCTGGTTAGTCCATGGTAGTCAGCGACAAAACGGAGCCGAGTACCCAGGCTATCGAATTCGAAGCTCCACGACTCAAGAACTGTGCACATAAGTACAGCACCGATTCATAAATGCCGCAAAAAGCCAGCATGTGCCAGCTTGCCGTACACATCGCTAAGTACTGTCGCAAATTCACAATACCAGCTATGTATTCCTGTGGTTTAGTAGCATTTTTATTTTTGGCCGGAATTTTTTTTTAATTCGCCCGCGCGCACTAGTTTGGGGGTCTTCAGAGGATGTCATCCATAAAATTAAATCGGTGTGGCCTAAGCGACCGGTATGAGTATGGTCACCAGGTTATCTGTTTCCTTCTTGACCATTCACTGGTGATGCTGCCAAAACTCAGGACCTCCCCGCGAAGAAGAATGGTTGATTCCACTACATCAATGGGTTGATCCCTGAACAACTGTTGGGTTGAACAAGATGAAAAAAAAATGAAAAAAGAGTGAAATTGCATCTGGAATTAGTTGGGTCATTATTTCAGAACTTTATTCTATAACATTATTGGCAGATATCTTATCAAAACTACTTGAAATGTGACATAACCAAAGAGTTTGTTATCTATCTACTGTTATCTATCAATCAATCACATATTGCACAAGACTGAATTTTCGAATAAACGAATGTGTGGGTGGCCTATGGCAAAAAAATTAATAAACATCCAATCAACTCATAGCACATCAGCACCAGAGGAGATTAAAAGAAAAATGTTCAAAAGTGTATGTTGTTTCATCAGTTCTTAATCTACTTATTAGTCTACGAGCTGGGAGCACCTCACTCAGAGCTGACTCCAGGGTTCTAGTAGCCAGCGGCCGTTTTTCTGTATTTGACAGAATTTTGTCACGACACACTGTCTGCAGAAAGCAGAGTTTCTCCTGACCAGAAATTTTGCTGGGAACAGAGTCCAAAACAGCTGAATCAAGTCCTGTATATCCTGTACTTAGCAGTTTTCAAGGCTTCAACTAACGGTAAGTGTTGAGTCACGAAGTACATGTCCAACCAGCTTTTGTAAACCCTTCTTCTCCTATTGATGTTTGTAACTTAGGCAAAGAGATGCTGTTCCAGACACCAGTGTGCTTAGTTCATGATCAGTGCCTAGAAGTGCTCACTTTAGTAGAAGTTGCACTGAGCAAAACCTCCTTGCTAGTAAGAAATACCTGGTAGCTAAAAAGATGTGTGGATAAAAGGTCTCATAGATGTAGCCTTTGAGGCTAAAGGGGTGGTAGGTTTTTAATTGTTGCATTTTGGGCACAGAAGGCAGAACTCCCTACTAGTAGTTTACTTCCATTGCTTTTTCAGGTCATTTTCCTTATTTGTTTGGATAAGAAGAGGAAAGAGAGCAAAAACAATTTATGTTTTCCTTCGGTGAACATAAATACTGTACATTTATACATCTCATTCTCATTCTGTCCTTCTGCCAATAGAGTTGACAATACAGTCGCAATGAATCAGTCCATCAGAGAAGAGAACAATCCTGTTTATCATACAAACCATCCAGAGGAGCCGACAAGCCCAGGACGAAATGAAGATAATTTAGGCCCTGATCAGAATGTCCTGTACACAGCTGGACAGGAACCTAACATACAAGTTGTACAAGTCAGCCCGACATCCCCACTCCAGAAGCCACTCATGTATATTCTTTATCTGATATGACCAAAGCTGAAAACTCTGCCATGTACGCTGGTTCAGGCGAAAATGAAGAAGATGCTATTGAAAACATGGACGAAGAATTTGAATCTAAAGTCATGCAAGAAGACAGTGCAGTGGTTGACAATATGGACATGGAACCGTACACTGTTGCAAACATGTCCGATCACGAAAACGATCTCATAAACGCCACAACTGTTACAGCTTGTTATGAGCCTCAGGGTCCCGGTAACAAAGAATTTCCAAACCCGATATACGAAGAAAACGTTTGCCAACAGGCTTCAGATGACACTAGTCATGATGCCAATGTACATGTACACGAGGTTCGCAATCCTACAAATGCAGAGGAACATCAAAAACCAGTGAACAGACCGGATCCCCAGCAGGCCTCAGATGACACCAGGCCTGACTCTGATGTACACAAGGTTCACAATCCTCCAAACGTTAAGGAACTTCATGGTAAGGGGGTTTACGGAAAAACCTGGGTGCCTGCCAGGGCTGGCTACCTTGCTTGTCTACCTGGCCTGGCACCCAGATATTTCCATAAACCCATGATAGCTTGTTCATACATTTTTTTAAGTAACTGTCATGATCATAATCTTGTATTTGTAATCAAATGTTGTTCTTCTGGTTCTTTTATTTTCTAGTTACTCGTTTATTCGATTATTGTGTCCGTGCCTAACTAGCTGCACATTATTATCTGAATTTTACAAATTTGTTTTGGAAAGGCTGTTTTGCAGTGATGAATAAAAGTTGCTTGCTGGTGGCTTTGGTGTTTGTCCTGATCTTAACTGGAGGGATGACATACGGAATCATCACAGGGGTCGATTACAATACCCAGGTAATGCAAAAGGTAAGGCCAACATCTTTGCCACAGCTAAAATCTACATATTAAGTTTTACATTTTATAAATATTGTTTCATTCATTCATTACTCCAATCAGGTACTCTAGATAAGTACCAACCTAAGAGGCAAATATTTTTTTTGCAGTGCTCGAAATTCATATTTGGGAGTAGGAGCACTGATGCACTTAATTAAAAATGTAGATGCACAGAACAAAGTTTGGGTGCACAATTGAAATAGAATGAGTTATTACAAACCAGCTTTACTGCCTTTCTCAACAGCTCAATTCTTACATGTACATTCTCTAGCTGACTTCCAAATTTTAAATGAGCGATACAACAAAAGGCTTATCATTTTTCCTGTAAATGTCAAGAATATGCCGTATCCTAAAGTGTATTCTTCTTGTTGCTGTTTTTTCCAGGCTAGTCCTATACAAGAAATCAACACCTTGAGCACATTGAATGCAACAAAAGTGGCAAGCACAACTAAATACACGTACACAACAGCTATCATCCATACCTCTGATGGCACCAACCCAAAAATTCTTGGGACTATCAGTGGTACCAACGCACCCATCCTTGGATACATCGATGGTACCAACCCATCCATCCTAAGGACCATTGATGGTACCAAGCCACCCATCCTTGGTACTATCAATGGTGACAACCCACCCAACCTTGGGACCACTGATGGTACCACCCCACCCACCCTTGGTACCATTGATGGTACCAACCCACCCAGCCTTGGGACTACCGATGGTCCCAACCCACCCACCCCTTGGGTTATTGGTAGTACCGATCCACCCAACTACAAGAAAAGTAAGCACACGTCAAGTAATATATATTAGCATGCACATATTGTCTTCTAAGGCCACACCAATTTAATTTCTTGGTTAACGGATTCGCCTCTTCCTTTTTTTCTGATTTGCAAATAAAAATAAAAATTCAGAATCAACTGCAAAATGCTCATATTTTGCCCTGAACAGTTGAAAACAGTCCTTTTCTTATTACCTGTTACAGTCATTCCATCTTTCAATGCAGTGCTACCATTAAAAGTTCAAAATTCACTGTTTAAATTTTGAACCAGCCTGGTGTGTTGACTTAATGGCTCCTATCGTACCATTTTGGGCCATTTTGGATGCCTAGGCCAGTTTTTATCTTTATTTTTTTTTCGCCCGCCCGCTCCATTAATTTTCTAGAAAAATCCGTTAACCAAGAAATTAAATTGGTGTGGCCTAAGGCATGATTGAAATCTTACCTATTCAATCAAAATCAATCCAAAATCATATCCAGTTGCTTGAGTAACTGTTTTTTGGTGTATCTTATTACCTGGATGTCTAACCTCCATTGACGTAAGATGCTATCACTGATACAGAAACAGCCTGCGAGAAGAAGACCATGCATCTGACTTGTGCAGTGGATGAGCTGATTGTGATTGACGATGCCTTCTACGGTCGGAGGGAAAAAGATCCTCCCTGCGGATGTAGCTGGATCCGGAAATGTGGCACCAACTGTAAACAGAAAAAGAACAAGTAGGAGCAGCATTCCTAATCTAAGGCCATGTTGATTTGATTATATGGATGACATCCGCGCGCGCATGAATTTTCGGCCGTTTCCAAAAAAAAAAAAAAAGTTTTCAACCATACTGTAAATCGTACAAAACAGACTGTTGCAAAATGAGCAAAAATATACCGTAAGTTACAAAAAAAACCATACCAATGTCGTAGAATGCCAAAATCAAACGAAAAAAGACGAAATTGTAAAGAAATGAACTTGAAGACTAGATTATTCGCCAAACCATATTCTGTCCCATTTGTTCAACCCTCATGACCACGTAGATTTCATAATGAAAACAACTTTTTTTTTTGCAAAACTTTTTTTTTATTCGCAC